TAAAAATACCTTGTATTTTTGAAATATAACTCAGGAGTAATTGTTAAAAAAACAAAAAAAATATCAAAATAGCGTTTTTTCAAAAGGCAAAGAAAAGAAAAGAAAGGAAAAAAGAAAACGTGGGGGAATGGGTCACGTGAAGGCACGTGAGGGAGTGGCGTGCGGGCGTGCGTGGAGAGAAAAGGCGAGAGCGCGGAGAGAGAAATAAAGAGTGGTGGGGTCCATATAGCAGCTGTCTCTTCTGACATAGTCAGTTGGTGCTGACTGCTTCTGACCACTTTACTGACATCATGTGTCAGTGATGTATTCCGCTCCCTGCCCCCCTCACATGTCCTCTCATGGGCTTTCCCCCTTCCCTCTGTTTTTATATCCTTCAATTTTTATCTCATTCCTCATTCAAATACACGTGACGTGACCGTGAATTTATTCTCAAAGCTTCAAATATTCCGATGCCATTTAATTACAAGCGCATCTCCTGTGAATACATTTTTGTTGGGAAATTTAAATTGGTAGGATTTTAAAACAGGGTAATAAAATATGAACCGTTGGATGATGGAGCCCAGCAGAAATGGAGATATTTGACTGGCGTGAGTTTGAGAGGCAAAGCGTCCCGCTTGAGGGGACTCTAATTCAACGCCTTTTAATGTGTTTCTTGCTTTTTTGGGCGGACAGAAACAGATATTACTGCTTCTGAATGAATCTTCGTTCGCTTGGTTGACATGCCCGTAATGTAACAGCAGCTGCAAATTACAGGGGTCCTAGTCCATGAGGACTTGGGGAGCAGAGCATATTCATTGGATTCTCTTCCATGTCCATCGCGTCTCAGAATTTCATGCAACTATTATTGTCTTTTCGAGTTTTTTGAATCATTTGGATTTTTAATTTTATTATAATTTAATTATAACTCATATTTAAATTTTAATAAAAAATTTATTTTTTTAATTAGGTTAAAATTAAAAAATAAGTTTTAAATTTTTAAATTGCAAATTAAAAAATCCAAACTTATACATTTTTAAAATTTAATACTTAAATTTTAGTTAAATTAATTAATTTTTTTGAGACTTTTTTGCCATCCATTTCGTCCTGACAATTTTGCAAATTTTTTCTTACCATCACAAAATCTGCCGTCATTAATTTGCAGTATTTCTCTTTTATTTTTTTTTTGGACGAATTCTCTTTTAATTTGTTTGTTGACGTAGTAACAAACATTACAGGTTAAACTTTTATATTTACATATCAATATTATATTTACAGGCGGTTAGGATATTTAGGTAATTAATTTTTTATCTGGGATGTTTAAAAGAGCGCATACTGTATTTTAAATTTTGAATGAAATTAATGCGGATTTAACATGTTATATAGATTTTAAAGAATGAATGGGATTATTCATAAACGCGTGATAATATGAATCATAAAAGTTTTGATTTGTTACTCCCTCCTCCGTTAAAAAATATAGTAATTTTTAAGGTTTATAAGGTAAGTTAAGTTTTAAAATTTAAGTTATTTTTAGTCTTTCGAGATGTAATCATTATTTTTTTTTCAAAAGTGCCCCTATTAATAATAATTTTATATTTATTATAGGGTATTTAAAGAAATAAATATAAAAAAAATAGTTTTAATTAAAAGTAGATAATAATTTTATTGGTGGGTGAGATTCAATTAAAAATATCTTACATTTTTATAATAGAGAGAGAACATGTAAATTGATTCCCACCATATATGCATACATGAATTGTACAGTATTTTGCGGTATAAATGTGTTATTGTCCATAATTTCATTTAATAGTCCTATATTTTCTCTAATCTTTATTATAAGGCATGTTTAGAAGAAAAAAAATGATTTTATTAAGTCTCTGGATAGAATATTAAATAAGTTTTTTCAATATCATCCCGTCCAAAGGTTTTTTTTTTGTAGACATCCTGTGTTGATATCCTGTTTAAAGTTATGAATCATGAAAAAATGTATCACAGATTTAAAAAAACTTAATTTGAAAGCTGGTAAATACAGGTCAGTGAAGAGCTTGGGATTACCATTAACTAAATGGAGATAGAGTACTCACGCCGTTTTTATTTGTCAGGAAACTGTCTCTTTTAATCTGTATTTTTATAAATAAAATAAGTATTTATTACAAAATTTTTAATTTACCTCTCATAATTTATATTAACAAAAAAATAATGCATACTTGTACTGATTAACACATAATATTTTAATTTAATTTTTTATTTTCAAATATAATTATTAAAATTAATTAATTTTTTAAAATTGTGTGATACATTATATATATAAAAATGGAGGGAGACAGTACTTACTCTAAATCACAATATAAGTAACAGTCAACTTATTCATAATTTATAAATAATGTTAGTTGAAACTTTAAGTTTTTAAGAATGTTAACATATTTTTATTTATACTTTTATTAAATATTTTATATAAAAGTTTTGGTAATAACAATTAAAATTATACTTCCTCTGTTTAAAAATATAAGACATTTTTAATTAAATTTTATCTTCTAATAAAGTAGTTATAACTTTTCAACTAATCCTATCTTTTTATATTTATCCCTGTTAAATACTCTATAATAAATATAAAGTCATTATCAATAGGGGCATTTTTGAAAAAAAAGATAAGGATTACACTTTGAAAGACTAAAAATGTCTTACATTTTTTAAATATTCAACTCCTTAAAAAATATTTTATATTTTTAAATGAAGAAAGTAATATATAATTTTTTTGAAAAATTAATAAATAAATATAAATATATTTTTGAAATAAATATAAAAATTACTTAATATGTTATATTTTGAATTAAGTAAGATGCCTAAAAAATGTTTTATATATAAGGACGGAGGGGGAGTGCAGCATATCGAAAGTGCGTTGAAGTGGACGTTCGTGGGAGGGGGCATATTAATGGGAGCAGAGCACTGTGTGATAACTGGTTGGCAGCAGTAACGGCTGAAGAAATGGCTTATTAAATTCCACACTCCTTTTTTGGGGTAAACAGACAGGAGCGCACAGAAGGACTGGCCCCGCTTGAATGCAAGCATATGAAATGAGGGAAATGGATCCTCTCATTTTCTATCATTCTCAGCGTCCCTCAGCAGCACGGATCCAAGCCCTTCAATACAAATCCAAGGTCTTATAATTTGCCGCATAATATCATATTAAAATAATTTAATTTTAAAAAATAATTTTTCACACTTTATTTCACCACATTAGATATATTTTTATTGTAATGATTCATGCTAATTTTTTATTATTTATTTTCAAAACGTAATCTAAAAAATTACTTTGCACATTTTTTAAAACTAAATTTTTGTTAAATAAGTCGGGCTAGAGTTTGAATAAACCGGACTGTATATCTCTGCAAGCCTACCTTACACATTGATCCTTGTAAGTCTTATTTAGATTTATTTTTTAAGGTAGGCTTGTAGAGACCTACATTTTAGCTTATCTAAACTGATATGTTTAAAATTTTGTTTTAAAAAAAATCTGCAAGGCAATTTTTTATTTACAGGGATCAATCTATAAGATAGACTTGCAGAGAGCTATAATTCGACTCATCCAAACTTTAGTTTAACTTATTTAACAAAAAAATGTTTTTAAAAAAATCTGCAAGGTAATTTTTTAAATCAATCTTTAAAAATAAAAAATAAACAAAATCAATATGAATTATTATGATAAAAAAATATATCTAAAGTGGTGAAATAAAGTTAAAAAATTATTTTTAAATATTAAATTATTTTAATAGGGGATGATGTGGCAAATTATAAGACATTGGATTTGGATTGAAGGGCTTGGATCTCTTTGCCGCTGAGGGACGCTGAGAAGGGTGGCATCTGAGAGGATCCGAACCCATGAAATGAGCCCTCTTGTTGTGAATCCAAACCTGAATGTTTTTAAACCAGATTTTACAATAAATAAATGCAGGATTCTCCCTTTCTGCTGCAAATATTGACTGTATCAAATGATTTTTTTTTTTTTTAAGTTTCTGACTAGCTGTCCTTGTAACATTGTCATCGATCCCCTTGCTTAGAACTTGAAGAGGTTCGACATGCTGTATGCGAGTTGGTCTCTGTCAGCAGTAAATATTTTTTTTTTTTAAATATCTAACTCGTTTCTTTCCGACTGCTAGTAAACGACAGCGGAAGCTGGGAGCCGGGGAGGAGGAGAAGGGAACATTGAATAGTGTATGAGAAGAGGATGGAAATTGGAAAGTGACGAGAGAGCGTCGAAAAGCATTCTGGTGAAAGAAGGCAGATGACAATAATGATATCCTCTCCTATCAGCTGCACTCCCACTGCACTGTCGGACTGACCTCAAACCTCGCTTCTCTGACACCCTTCTCTCTTCTCTTCCTCACTCATCTGTTTTCTCTTGTCTTTGTTCCATACCACCCCCAGATTCATCCAACGCCCAACACATTCCCTGGCAACCCAAATTCTATCTATAATCACAACGTTACAAAAGAAACTAACCACATTAATCTATTATTATTATTATTATTATTATTATAAGCTCGGGGCATCATATTCATTGAGTACTACTCTATTTTAAATGGAAACTAAGGCACAGCGTATTTTAGGGTCACCTCCCTTGGTTCACTAAACCCTATGCTGCCATTCTATCCCTCAAAGTGGTATTTCCAAGGCAAAAGCAGAGAGACAGACAGACTGCAGGTTCTTTCTTTCATCTCTCTTCTCTAGCCATCAGCTTGTTCCATTATTTTATTGTTCGCTCCTCACACTTTTCCCCCCCTCAGCTGTCTTGTCTCACTGTCTTTTTCTCAAGTGCTCCAAGCCCTCCCCCACCACTTCTCTCCCCTTCAAAACAAACTTTGCAGGCTTTGCTGTCAGAAGCCTCCCCTCCTCTCTCTCTCCACTCCCCCCCCCCTCAAGGTCTCAAAGGCATCTGCCGAAAAAAGATATAAAGGAAACTGCACAACTCCCTGCCAAAAAGCTTTTTTTACAAACTTGCTCTTCACTTCTCCAACACGCCCCCCACCAAAGCCAAGCCTCATAACCCCCCAACTACTAAACCAAGAGCCTGCCCCCACCGCACTCCTGTCACTCTCTCTCTCTCCCCCCATGGACTTCCATCTGAAGCAATGGAAAAACCAGCACGAGCCTGAATCGGAAGAACGCCATTGTACAAAGATGCCGAGACTCATGCTCGAATCCCATCTACACCCACCATCCCCCTCTCCCCCTGCTCTTCCTCTCTTCGTACCCGAACTCCACACCAAAGTCGGCTCCCTCTCCGCATTTTCTGATTCCTCATTATCCTCGGCCAGATTTCCGAGTGAGATTTCTATCCATGCCGTGTTTTTTCTTTTCAATGTTTTCATCTCTTCTTTCGGGTTTATCGGTGTTTTGGCTGTTTCCTGTTCTGCTCTCCTCTCATTAAATTATGTTTGGTCTGTGTTAGGGATGGGAAGTTATTTCAGTGTGGCTCAGTGGCAGGAGCTGGAGTTGCAGGCGCTGATATTCAGGTACATGTTGGCGGGTGCTGCTGTTCCCCCTGAGCTTCTCTTGCCAATTAAGAAGAGCCTTCTTCGTTCCGCTCCTTACTTCCTCCAGTATCAGCCTTCTCGTAAGTTCCCCTCTTCATTCTTGTATAACTGTCTCATCTAGGATTCGCTTTCTGTGCTGACCTAAAAACATGCACATTTCTGTTTTGCTGTCACAAACTGATAATTCCACGTCATTCGGCATGTCCAAATCGAAGTTTACATTTTGCGTTAATCCTTGAACTCCTCCTGCACTAGTGTTGCAATCGGGATACTGGGGAGGAGCTACCATGGATCCAGAGCCTGGCCGCTGTCGAAGGACTGACGGCAAGAAATGGCGGTGCTCGAGAGATGTGGTGGCGGGCCAGAAGTACTGTGAGCGCCACATGCATCGCGGTCGAAACCGTTCAAGAAAGCCTGTGGAAGTACCCACACCAGCCACTGCGGGAGGTGTTGGTTCTGCCACTGCCGGTGGCGGCGTTGGTTGTCCCCCTGCTACAACAGCCTCTGTATCTGCCCCGCACGTGACAACGTCATCATTGAGATCCCCTTTCGACCTCCTTCAGCTGAAACGATGGTAACCCCTTCTCTGCCACCGTTGTGGAACACAGCAACCTAGCATCTAATAAGATAACAACTATGAGTATGAATTGCAATGGAAATTAGTTTATTTCTTTAAAGGGTCCTAATTGTTTGCTGTGAGTGACCTTGATCTAATTCGGTGGGACATCCTGTTTTCTCTGGCCATTTTTTCCTTTCTAATATTTTATTTCAGAGATCATTTCTTTCATATTCTATAAAGTAAACTCCAGTTTGATTGATAATTGAATAATAATTAAAAGGTGAATAATGTCTTCACCCCAGGGAGTGAACTGATATTGCACAGGTAGGACCTCAACGAAAGCCCTCAATTTGTCCCATTAATCAAAAGGGGAAAGCTTTAGATGCCAGCACAAATAATCGGCAGACTATTCTTTCTAACCCATATAAATATGCATATCCCCTGCAACCTTTTTTGTTCGGTTCTCTGATTGGTGTCTTGCTTTCATGTGTCTGGTTCTTCCTCCGCAGTTCATCTGGGACCATCAAGAATGAAAAGGAGGGCATGTTTGAAAACCAGAGCCGAGATGACGTGGATTGTGAAGGTAGATCAGATGGGCATATTCTGCGACATTTTTTTGATGATTGGCCACGATCACTTCAGGAACGTGACAACGCCGAAAGCAACGCTAGCACCATCAACTCGGCCACATGCCTCTCTATTTCAATGCCCGGAAATGCTTCGTCGGACGTGTCACTGAAATTGTCTACAGGCGATGATACAGAGGATCCGTGTTCCAGAAGTGGAAATGTGGGCCCACAACATTTGCAATTAAACTGGGCAGGAGGATGGACTTCTTCGGCTAATCATGTGGCTCCAATGGGAGGACCACTCGCTGAGGTTCTCAGATCATCTACCACAACGTCTTCACCTACAAGCGTCCTGCACCAGTTGCCTCGTGGTTCTGCTTCTGAAACCAGTTTCATTAGCACCTAGGCTAAACGGGGTTGTCCTCTGGTTGATATTTCTTTGGCATAGTTGCATCTTGTTTTGTATGATAATCTCAGGTTTCATCTCCGTCAAGTCAACTTATGGATTTTAGCTAACTTTTAGTTAAAATATTATGTTGCAAGTTTTTTAGCCGCCGCACAAACATTTTGTTTAATTGACAACTAATTGATATTGGTCTCCGGCTTTTAAGGTAAATCACACTCAAGCGTAGGCTTCAGCATAAAAGAGGACAGAAAACTGGACTTGGACGATCAAATTAGCACGGTAAAATGTTGACCTCATATTAACCTAGTAAACAGCTGATGCGTCAAGAGTCAAGACAAGTATTATTTCCAAAATGCTGAGGCTGTACTTACTGCGGGCAGCAGTGAATACGACGAAGACTGTACTTCTGAACTTTAATTAAATCCTTGGTTAACAGAATGCCTACTGCTCCGGATCCCAAGGGAAGGCATATAAACAAGACTTAAGAGCCTCACAAAAATCAAGAGCCATTCACACTGGTCGATTGTCTGCTTTGGTTCTGCTTCTTTGCTGTTTTGCAGGGGGCGTCGTCTAAAGTCTAAACTCGAGGACCAATTATGTTGGTCGGATATAACTTAGTAGGGATGTACAGAGGCGCTGCGAGTCGTGACTTTCTTGCAGGTTTGATTGGAATCGGCCCAACTTAATCGGCAAGGGCATGCGCCACAGCTGTTCTTGCAGGTGCATGCACTAGAAAGGAACGAGGACGATCATCATACCATCCTTCCTGCATTGGAAGAGTCAAAATGAACAACATAACACCAGCATAGAAAACAGAAGCATACATGTGCACCACAATTGAGTTTAGAGAACTCCCGTACAGTGGTAAAGTATTCAGCAGTGTGATCGAGCCTACTGAAACCTCCGAACAATGGATCATCTGAATCCAAGAGAATCTGAAAAAAGCAAGAGAAAAACCATCATACAGAAAATTGAACATGTCTTGAAACTAAAGAGGGGTCAAGAACAAATGAGTAATGTTCAGATTGTTGAAAGGGCCACCAACTGGCTCAGGCCAGGGTTTCGGGAAGGGTCTTGTATCAGAAAGCACAAGTGCTTTTGAGGCGAGGGCCTAGGCATACAGTTAATAACAAATCAATCAGCATGTTATTGATTTTGTGAAATTAAGTCAAATGATAAGGATAGAATTGGGAATGAGTGATTTTTCTGATGTCACTAATACAAACACGTACGAAGAAAACACATGAACCAGTACAAAGGTGCAAGATAAGAGATGGCCTCTTTTATGTTGTCGAACTTCTCATGTTTCTTAACTTATAGAACGGATTACAAGTAAAGCCCAATGGGCTAATTAAATTAAATTTTAACATAAAAAGGTTCTCGAACAACAGAAATGAGTTAGCTAGAAATAAAAGAGGATGCACTAGAGTTGATAATTTAAAACAAACTCAATATGTTGGATTAAATAATGACTTTTTGATGTTTGAGCCTATTTAGGCTAGTGCATATAGGCTCGAAAAAATTTGAACCAAACTCAATCAAAATAAAAAAATAAAAAAATATTTTTAAAAAATATGTAAAATATAATAAATATTAATTAATTTTTTAAATTATTTTATACTAAAATTTCATATATTTGGGTACATTATCACTGATATTTTTTTAAAAATTAAAAATATTTATATTGTCATATTTTTATTATTTTTAATCTATAAGATATCTCAAAATAATATTTAAAATATATTTTAATATTGATATTTAGATTTTAAGACCTACATATTTTTGTTAAAAAAATCTTGAGTCTTATACATTATTTAAGTATTTAAAAAATAAATATAATTAAAAATGATTTTAGGTCAGGCTTAGCCATTCGGCCTTTTTAGGGAGCTACGTTTATTCGAGTTCCAACTTATCTACATTCCCAACTCTAGCAGCAGCTCAAGCTGAAAAATCTTTTTCCACTACAAGGATTGCAGCTAATGATTTTATGCTTTTGAATGCATGAAAAGTTTGTCATCATAGATTTGTGATAAGCGATGATGCAAAAGTTGTGGGATCGTACCTTGTATTTCCCTGGCTTTAAGTAGCCAATTCTGTGATCAAAATAGCTGTGGGACCAGTGAAATTTGAATACAAATACGAGGTTGCCTCTTTCGAAGACTATCATCTTGTCATCTTCATCTTTTCGCGATATATACTGGTGAATAGAAGTCATGAACTGCATTGACAGTTAGGCGTTGTTACTTTCCGTAATGAAGGAGGGTGGCTTGGGGAAAGTGAAACAAAATCTCAAAGAAAAAGAAAGAAAACTATGCAGCAGGTATATATCTCAGCTGAGATAGAAAATAGATGATTTGCTTCCACAAGTTAGGGAATTCAATTCCAACTTCTCGCAAGTCACAGTCAGTAATACGAATATTAACAATGTTTGCCCCAAAGGGGGGAATAAAAAAGACCAATCACCATAAAAAAGTGGCAAGATATCCCTTTAACATTAAGAGACTTCTTCGGGCAGTGTGTTGAGATATGAAATAGTAGTAGAGCCAGCAGAAAATATCCCATACATCACATTTTTCTTCAAGGTACTGAATGGCCTGATCAAATTCTTGCATCCCGCGGCATCTTAGATACTCTGCGTCCCCCTGGTAAACAAACCAGAAATCATTTTTGTTTTCTTCTGAAGGAGCCTTGACAATAATTTAGATAACAATCAAAGAAACTGTTCAAAGAGTTTTGACCATAAAGCTGATAGAAAGGACGAAACGTGTAAACTTCAAAATTACTGTTTCTTGGTTCTAATGAACATTTGGAGTTTTGTATTACCTAGCCTTGAATGATCGATCATTTCTTCATTCTCCCACTATCCGTGTATTTATTTATTAGTTCGGAACATGCAAGTTTGAGGTGCACAGACACAAACCAGTTAAATGACATGCAATATTTACTTCCTACATTATCCGTTTATTTTATAACATGCGCTTCCAAGATTCTGTATATATTGCAATACCTAATCGCGTGTGCTTACTCAATGTATTTTAGCAGTTCAAACTGAGCAAATCCAGGCCGAAGATAGAGGGGAAGAACAGAGTATTTTGTAACAAGAACTCTCTCGCACACAAACGCGCTGTCATCACTCATCACCAGAGATTTAAAATAGGTTAACCCTGCAAAGAAAAAAACATTTAAAATGGCAAAACCGAAACCTAAATAATAAATATAAAGACGAAATAATAAAACTACGCAGAAAAGACTAGGCGCTGCTGAAACAGGCATCTGTTCCCGTTTATTATAATGATTTAGCTTCATTTTGATCTCGACATGGAAACCCCAGTCACAGAAATTTCATCAGTTGAATCAATTCTATACCAAGTAAAGAATCTTGATTATTGATAACTTCGTGAAAATAAAAACCATGTCTGGCAATGCATGACGTGAATGAAACTGGTTATGAAGCTGGATAGAATGGTTCACTCGGCCTAAGCTCCTCCCAAGAGGATCAATCATTAGCTAATTCACAACTAACACAATGAACATTTGTTTTCAAAACAATCTAAACCCCATAAATGCAAATAGCAGGAATCTAAACAAGCCAACGCACAAATTGCGAGCAACTCGAACTTACCAAGTCAAATCTCCGCCCGCCTTTATCAAAACTGTTATTATTCCCAGTAACTACTTTGCCACTGGGAAGATGCTGATCACCCCTTGGAAAATCAATCCACTCTGAACACAAACATTAAAGCGATAACCTTAATACTTGTTTAATAAAACCTCTATGTAAAAAATGAAAGCAAGTCACCCATAGTCCTATACGTACCAAGATGGCCGAATTCATTTCCCATAAAATTCAGATACCCTTCACCACCAAGACCCATAGTGATAAGCCGAATCATTTTATGTAATGCTATGCCACGATCTATAACATGATTTGACGGTCTGTCCAGAGCCATGAAGTCATACATATCCTGAAACAGCCAAAAGAATGTAGGATAAATATCCAATCTTATAAGAAGCAGCGATACTCGTTTGCAATGTGAATGCGAATGTCCTCAATGATAGTGACGGTCAAAAGCTATGATTGGTCATTGATGATTTATGCAGAGGCAATCGATATAAGCTGAGGCATAAGCAAGTTATTAACATCCAGAACATGAATGTTCATCATCCACATTGCAAGGATAATATCTTAGCTGTGCTAAGTACGCAGAAGCAAACTAAGAGGGAACTTTTATACTGGATTCTTAATAGGGAAAGGCACGCTCAAATGCATAGAAGTAAGTTCAGAAGATTTAATAAAAAAAAGCATTGCTTATGTCTATGCCGCAAACAAAAGGAACTTCAATGGAGAGGCCAGACGGCAGTTTCCCATGGATCAGTCCCTACTTTCAATCTTTTAAAACCACAACAAATGTACAAATGAATATTCCAGAAACACAATATACGGGTCATCACCTTGTCCATCAACCAAAATGCAATAGTCTTGTCACCAACCAAGGCTTGATCATGACTTTCAGCGTAAGCCACACACTTTTCCGACCACCTTCTGTTAGTGAGTGTGTGAAATATATCACCCATCCTCCAATATTCATCTCTTTTCCTGCAAACAAAAGTGTTGAAATCACTCATGGTCTAATCGCCTATCTGTGGGGCATGGGTTTCAAGAATATTCAGGATCTGGACAAGATTAGAACTTGGAAAAAGAGAGGTATAATATATTTTGTTGGCTTCATGTAACCAAACTCGTAAAGTAATCAAATGAACAATTGCACTCTACCACAAGTACATGCCAATAATTGATAAAAATGAAATCAACAAGATATCTGATATATGAACTATGCATTAAGCTGATATTATTTCCAGTGATGATTAACCTAAAAGTTTATCATCAAGGACCACTTTCTCCCCAAAGCTCGAGTTGAAGTAAAGGCCAAGAAATGCTTTTATACTATCCTTTTTATGTGAAAGCTGTTTGAACTAAAAGCCTGTACACATCTGTTTGTAAATTTAAAAATGATATATAGGGTTACAAGGACCTAACTTGTTATCATTTGGTAATAGACACTAAATATCATATCAGAGACTATTCCTTCCCAGAGATTGAAATATGGCCCACGAATATTCTGTTACATAAACAACAAAGATCTCTAGTTTTTGGTGTTTTGGCCATGCTTTGGGTAACTCTTTTCAATCCGCAGAACCATCTCAACATTGGATACATATAGGGGTCAACATTATACGATAAGCAAGTCTACTTCAGGCTGGAATTTCATATATTTTAAGTACAATTAATTACGACTATGACTAATTCAACAAAAAAAAAAAAAGGTTTGTATGCTGTGATTGGACTCCAAAATAATGATAAAAGTTACTTGAGAAGTTCAATCCATTTGTCAGCAATGGCCATATGCAGGCGATAATCAAAGCCAAGCCCACCATCTTTCGTAGGAAGGCATAGTGTTGACATACCGCTGACCTGTAAACAGAGTGTATAAGCAAAAAGACAGCGAACGGTCAAGTTCAACTGAACTGAGCACATAGTTCAAATACCATATCATGTAAAACTACTCACCCAAATAAGAAGGGAGAGATTATTTATCTATTGATCGGGACAGGGGACAAATGAAGTAAAATTTCTAAAATATACTTTTCTATGATTTTTGATAAGGTAACGTACATCTTCGCCAATCGTAACAGCCTCGGAGAAGAGTCCATGAATAAGATCATTAATTAGCATCAGATAAACCACAGCATCAACATCTGTTGCATATCCAAAATACTCTTTGTAGTTTCCTGTAAAAGCTACCTGCAGCACGCGAAGAAGAATTTTTCTTTTAAACAAAAGCAGAAGAGGGAGAAGCTTCTCATGAAAGTGTTATCCCTCTGTTGAAATATCTTTCATCAGTTTCCCAACACGCCTTTGACTAAGATTTTCAATTCTGAGTTAGATGTTATTGCCATTGTAAGCGATTGGCATTAAACCGCAAATGCAAGGTCAAATTACTTACGCAGAAAAATACTTAGGCTGAATGAGGCTTCTCAACCCTAACGGACATTGGAGTAGAAAATAGCAACTAACAAGCGAAAAACTATTGTGTTAAATACTTAAATATATGGTTTGTGATTTCTTGTTATTAGAGCATCATTTTTAGAATCAAAGCGCATTGGTTAAATTTTGATACGAGCTGTACAGCCATTCATTGTCAGGCTTCACCAAAGTTATTTTGAGGTCAAGGGCATTTTGATGCTTATATTACTAACGCGAAATCCCGTGGATATCTATAAAAGCCCAACTCAATGTGGAACAGCTTTATCCAACTATCTGCCCCATTATTCTTGTTTTCCCATCAAATTAAATGTGTTAGCTTTTCTCACACATCAGCTGAAGATGCTGTGGTGCTCCAATGTTTTTCTCCCTCTAGAATGAGAAACAAAAACAATCATCAATATCATATAATAGTAATGTCAGCACACTCGGTGCAGACACCCATTCAAGGACAAAAAAAGAACACCAAGAATCTCAATTAAGAGTGAAATAAAATTGTGGGATTTATTTTTTTCTACTCGTTTGTCTAAGAAAATACATAGTAACCCTTGGTGACTAATTACAAATTCATTACTAAATAACAAGAAACCAAAGACAAATAATATAAACCAATTAAAATGTACCTGTAGTCCATGATGAGCACACATCATTGATGTGCCACCCTCAAATCGAAACCCGTCAAAATTATATTCATCCAGCCACCATCTCACATTTGAGATTAGAAATCTTAGCACCTGCATTAATATTCAAGTCACTTGTTATTGACCAGAATGCAGAAGGAAAACCTGGAAGCAAATATTTGTAGAACTATATCAATGAATCCTACAAAGATAGTGCTTACTTCCCAACTTCCATAGTTAAAAAGGCGAGAATCCCACGTCCAATGATAGCCCCGTGACCCCGAATGGAAGTATTGACTATCAGATCCATCAAACACGTTCAGTCCATCCAATGTATTATTTGATGCATGACTACATTCATCAGGTAACAAAAATAAGATCTAAGCAAGAGTATAGCAGTCAAGATTATGAGTATTGGCAAAAAAAAAAAAAAAATAGAATAAAAACAACATTATGAGTAAACCTTACCTGTGTCAAAACAAGCAGACCTAGCTCATGAGCTCTACCAATCAAAGACTTCAGTTCATCAGGTGTTCCAAACCGGCTACTTGGTGCAAAGAAATTTGTAACATGATACCTACACAATGCAGAATGATGGCCGACTTCAGAAAAGAAATCATCAACACCCCATGAAACATAAAATATAAAAGAAAACTGCCTATCATTTTTAAAATCAACACGACGTGACATATTTTAAAAGCACAACTAATTGGGAAGACAAATAATCCAAAGGCAGTATTGAATTAGAACGTTAGAATTACCCAAAGCTAGCATAATAAGAATGCTCTTGGATGGCCATAATCTGGACCGCCTTTTTATGCGGGGCAAAACATCATCTCTAAAATTGGCATATGTGTTGATTTTTGGCTCCTGCAGAACAAAATTGGCTACATGGTTAGTCGTAGGAAAACAAATCATTGCAATATGTGCATTCTCATTCTCTTGAACATATTTGGTAACCTGGCTGGCCGGCCCAGTTTAAAGTATATGGGCTTAACTAGCCGAAGACACATTGGCCAGTATTATATTTTTTCCCCTAACTTTTTTAAATAATAACTAATTTAGGCTAAAAAATTAAACTATCTCCACACTTCAAGAGAATAAATGAACTACTGCGTAAAACATACATAAATCAAAATATCATAATAGCTTGCCTTTTGTTGGCTATATGTCAAATAAGCCAACCTACAGGATGGGCCATTTATCCCCCTTTCCCGTTTTGTAAGGCCAACTCATGCTGGTCGGAATTTAAACGTAAAAGGGCTCTATATTTACTAGCACAGCCTGTCTTTTTTTTAAGTTAGATACATCAGCCCATGGGGTCAAGCAAACCTCTTTAAATACGCTACCACTCAATGTGCCTAGGGGCTTCTAGCGAAGGTGGAAGTAAAATTATTAAATAGATAATCATTAGCAGCTTGACAAGTTATAGATAAATACTTTTCTTTTATGCCAAAAGAAAGAAGTACGCAAACATTTTCCTTTCAGAGACACCATTGGAAATTGGAATAGGGATGTCTGGATACTCCCAAGACAGTAGCCACACTTGCCCAAGCTCGTCAGACCTAGTTCCGATGAAGCAGCCTCTCCCATAAATATGAATAAATAAGATTTGAAACATTTTATTCTTTATGACATTCTAGTATTCGTGATGAATAATGTAGTTTGATATGTTCGGGATCAGTGACTCAGTAAGACAACCAAGACCATGAGAGGAACCACCAAGGGACCACATATCACAGTAAAGGAAAGGAAAGGATGCTGATTGGACTACTCATTCCAACATGTGACTCGTATATTCTAAGTGATTTAGGTCTCCTTGGCCATGGATGTTTGAAGACATACCTTTCCTGTAATGAAAAGAACAAGAAACTTATTTTCTACAGGGATCCATGGCAGAATATTCAACTAAAGTTAGATCAAGAAATCATCAACTTTAGCTTACCATATGTAACAGTTGATAATTATAGCAGCAGTCATATGCTAAGTAACATTTTAGTTAAGGTCTATCCAGATAGCAGAAGCCACTTTGCCATAATATCAATCTCTTTATTCGATGCTCTGAAATTATAACATAAGAACTTGCATACTGCCATGAGATTTGAGACCTCGCTAAAGTTTGCATGATTGGCTGCCTGAATTCATTTCCTTTTCTAAAATTAACTTACAAGGATGGAAGAAACACAGAACTATACCTCTTCTGGCGGATCATAGTATATACCATTATAAGGAATTTCACCCTCAGCCTGCACAGAGTACTTGATCCAAGCAGGAATTGAGTCCTTAATGCCAAATGGAGTATCCATGCGGAGCTAGACATAATCATTTACATTGGCTTTAAAAGTAGATCATGAACATAGGTGGCGATCAACCAAACCCAGCAGACAATACTTGCATTCTATTCAGAAGAAAAATTACCTTCACTCGAGTACCATGAGGAATTAGAGGCGAACCATCTATGTTGTTTGGCAGGAAGACCTCCCACACCCCAAACTCATTCTGTTTGGACCAAACTAAATAATTAAAAACTCTCAACAGCACACAACAGATTTTGTTGAGATTTAAATTTGACTATGCATACTTATCCTAAATCCAAGAGCTCATTTGTTACAATCACATCAATTACGAAGAATGATCGCCATTTTAAAAGGGAGATTCTGCTCTTCAAAGTTCAAACAACATATTTTTTTGGGCCCACGAACATTATGAAGCACTTTCCAATTATAAGCGCCTACTAACACACTTTTCCAGTGCTTAGTGTGATTAGTATGTAATTAGAAAATGAAATCAACATTAATAACTATGGTGAAATCTGTAATGAGTATGTAATTATTGTCAATAGTCAAATCTAATTAAGATGATGAGTCTATTCCATTACATAGCTGGTCTTAGGGAGTAGTTAGTGGGATTTGATTATTGTGAATCAACAATAAATTTTGATTTGACAAATTTGAGGCCAAACAGAGAGAAGAACTGTTACAGGTACACGGAAAATACTAAACCTGAAAATAGTCAAGCCATGCTAGTATGCTACAACTAGATATTATTTTAATTTTATTTTTGTACATACTATTCAATGAAAAAAAAATATTTAAAAAGCATAAACTTTAAACAAATCCAAGATAACATACATACCTGTGTCATTACATCTGCATTAGGATTCCAGTTGTTGAAGCTTCCAATCAACGAGGCAGACTGAAAATACACCAATAATATCCATGATGTAAAACGGGAGGCTAATATATTAATATTGTAATAGTTTACAGAAAAAAATGCACAACGACTAAAACCATATTTTCTTATTCGGACTCAATTTGTGGAGGGAAGGGGAATAAGAAAAGGGAAGAAACCATAACTAAGAAAAGTATAACCACGCATATCCAGGAAGATATTGTATTTTGCTTCCCATTATAATGCTTGCTTTTGTTTATCTATTAATAAAAGCATTATGATGTAACGCACACCTGCACAGTTCTGGACAGTGGGAGAAAGTAGAGAGAAACCGGAAACAGGGAGGGAGAAATGAAGAAGATGAAGAACAGAATAGTGGAGCAAGAGAGGGAGACAGACGCAGAGAGAGGGAGAGCCATCAGACTTTATTCACGATATTCATCCATCCATCAAGTGTACTATTAAAAATGTAAGCTAGTCTATTTACACAAAGTTGTAATGGCTAACAAGGAAACCTTAATAACATCTCCACATAAAGTCAATGTTAAGATTTCCTTACAAAATGTTAAAATAACCCAAAGGAAACGGCATTTTAAAATAATATAAGAAAACCTATTTCTTCCAAGAATAATAATAATCTACTAGCCTAGGGTTCTTCAAAATATATTATTCATATATTTCATCAAATTAGCCCCTCCAAAAGAGAGTATGGGCAAGTTTGTATTGAGGAGAATGAAGAAGGAAAGAGAAGTGAAATTTTAATTTCGACAATTTCTTTTATTTAGATTAGATTTAATCTAAAAGTTTTCCTTAGAATATATTTGGATCGAGGAAAATGGATGAGGGGAGAAGTAAATATGAGATAAATCAAATATAAATAAAAGCAAATTCCAAAAGTCAAGTGTATATTTATCATGACCAAGTGAAAGGAAAAAATCGAGTAATTATAACATAAAGTGATTCATGTGATGAATCCACAAAAATAATGTTCTCTTACTCAAGAATCAAATGTCTATTTCATAAAGCTAAACTCCAATACAAGTAACATGCACTGTTGTCAAAAGACTCTGTCCCAAAGAATACAACTACTGGAACCAAAAAAAGTGAACTTCAGAATTAGTATGGTAATTGCACCTTAGCTTCAGGTGCCCACTCTCTGTTAGTAATGCCAGTGGCACTGCAAAAACAGCTTGGAGTTAATACAATATACTCTTAAAAGTTTTGAAAGAGTAGGAGAGCTTGAGTTTAATAGGATTTAAGACCTCACTGACTTCTTGTTTGAGGTTATCCCAAAAAAGAACAGCTTATACAACACTAGGGTGCGGCCACTAATGTAAGTAGGGTAAAGTAAGAATAATAGACAGAAATTCCTCCTTCAAATTAAATAATTGATTTTAATATTGCGAATTTGCCCATGATAAATATGATAGCTAATTTTTATTATATTGATTATGAAGCATTAGTAAATGTATGAAACAGAAAAGACAAATAAATTTATGGACAGCGCACTGTAAGTCAAACAATAGGCATAGTTCCGACGGGTGAAACCAAATCTTTCATAACCACGAGAAAAAAGCCTCCAAACCACCTTCATACTTGTCAATATCCTCACGCAATCTTTTGTATTGTCCACAACTGGAATTCAAGAAATATGTTGTTCGATAGAATATATATTGGTTTACCACATAAAGGTAAATACGAACAGTGCCACAAAGGTTAAGCAGGCAAGAGTTTGGGGCGCACAAAATAAAACAAGTTAATAAATCAGTAAGGAATTCTTATAGGCAATAAGGTGCCTTTTTATTGGCCATACTTTTATTGAACCTATTCTTCATGTTGCTGGAAATAAAGAAAACTATATAACACAAAAAGGAGGCAATAATATGACATATAGTTTAGAAAGTAGCCTGACTTTAAGGTGTGAAATTGAATTTAAAAAATATTGAAAAGAATATTTTAATGAATTTTTACAAAGTCTTTGCGGAACACAGAGCATTGTTTATTAGACTATAAGCTATGACACATGCTGTCAACGTTTCATAGTCACCGCAAGAGTAAATTCTGATAGAGAACCTTATTTACCTCCATCAGCAGATGAGCAGCAGAAAGCCAAGTTCCTTTTTCTTTGGCCCCCCCCCCCCAAAAAAAATATAATTTTATAAAGTTTCAATTTAGTTCTTTAATTTTATAAAGTATTTTTTTAATCCTTTAACTCTAATATTGTTAGTTTTAAATGATTATTTTTTACATTAATCATTGTTATTTTGAAATAATTAAACTCAATATGTCAACATTTAAAAATGTTTTGTCAATATTTAAAAGTTCAATATAAAAATTTGTTGAGATAAAATTAACAATATTAAAGTTAAAGGATTAAAAAGACACTTTATAAAGTTAAGGGACTAAAATGAAACATTATATAAAGTTAGAGGATTAAATGTATACTTTAGCCCTGTATAATTATAACTTGTAGTCTAGTAGCTTAGATAGTTAATTCAGTTATGATTTGAGAACTAAAGATAGAAAGTTCTCGCACTGGAAATCAAGATGCTCACGGTGAGGTTGCAAAAGTGGATCAATTTCATATATTTTCTGTCCAGTTCCAGGTAGAGGAATAGTCTTGGGTTCAACTTCATCCCTTTCAAATTTTACTTCCGTATCTGCAGAAACTGAGACCAATATTTCAGCCATGCATTAGACACTGGCATTAACGTCTACAAGTAATGTCTGAACAAAACCTCTCACACCCTCAACTTCTCTGTAACCAGTAGGCAGTAGCTGCTGCTTCATCATTTTTGAAACTATTTTCTTCTTCCATTGCTAGATCTTCCAAACTTTGAAGAGCCTAAAATAAGCATTAATGAACATTTCCTTAATTTATGGAGTTGAAGAAAGACACTGCCTGACGAGATTAATAGTAATAAATAATCAAAAGGAAGAAACATCAATACCAATTCCAATGATCTTGCAGGCATATCTATGGAAATACAGGAAAAGTACACAAAACCAATGATTGCCGCTTGCATACTTACATGAAGCATAGAAATTTTATAACTTTTGTAAGAGAGTTTAGGATCCGGGATGAATTTTACACTTTATTAGAAAATTATTTATAATTTACAATATAAAATGCTATAAATTAAAATTGTCAAGAAGCTCGAGATAATGAACATTTCCAAGTTTCACAAAACTTTTATATAATACTTGTCGAAATTAGCCATGACATATGCTGTCAACATTTGGTATAGTCACAGCAAGAAAGGCTAGCTTTTCAAGTGATTAGTAGATATATATATATATATATATATATTTATATATTTTCAAAGCTAAAATCTCTGTAAGAGAAAAGGCGGATAACAGCATAATAGTGTGTAAAAGCAATTATTACCTATATAATATTTTGGACAAGGAGATTCACGATAATACCTGTGGAACATCCGATGTTATGTTTGGAGTTTTATGTTGATCTGTCAAGTATGAAGCATTATGGTGAATTCCAGGAACAAGTGCTTTATCAGATTCAGCAACGGAGGAAGACGTGTAGTCAGAATCATGACGAAATTTTTCAGCGAGGGCAAAACCTACAAAAGTCACTATTTGTCAAAGAAATGTTTTCAATACTACATATATAGAATAGAATAGTTTCACAAGCAAACCAAATCGAATTTTAAGCTCGTCCCATGAAAAAGCTACATAACCTTTTTTGCCTTTTCCATTTCCAAAATCCAGCATGTTCATGTATTTGTCAATCAAAATAGCCAGCCAGTTTCACAAATCAGCAGACGAACTAATGTTATTTCATTCGCAACCTCTTAACTATTTTTCAATAGATAAACCTCGTTCTTCAAGTATATCAAACCAACGGAGGAAGCAAAATTCAGAGAACTTTGCAAGACATATATGGCGGAGCAAATACACATGAAGAAACACAATTCGTCTATTGCCATCGTTATCGTTTTAGATCACAGTATGATTTATCAGTTTTAAAGAGGAAACAGGGCCGTAGCTAGGTTGGCCGAGATTGAAATAAAGTTAGTATAAAATTTGGAGTACGGAGATGTATAACACACAAATAATATAGAGAAAAAATTGAGAACAATTCTATCTAGAACAGGCAGCCAGAAGTCAAACTCGGAAATGGTACATCAACAGCGGAAAACAGAGCAAGTCAAAGCCGTTAGCTTATAATATCAACGGAAATGAAATGAATATAACAGTACTATCAAGTATCAAGTGTAGGGGGGTCGCTAGTATCAGAACCTTAAAACTTCACGAAGTTACCTTTAAAATATAGAACCTGACAAAACAGCTCCGATCAGTTTAATCTCCCTCAAAACAGTTACATTATTGTCTTTTACAACTGAAACAAACTAACCCCCTTCAACCAAGGAAATATATATATCGATAGCGCTAAAACCAACCCGAATACTCTGATAGCTAGTTTAACATATGAACCTAATCGAATCCAGAGTAAACATCGAACAATATACATAAATCTTAAAACTAGAGAAGGTGAGGAAGTATTACGAGAGAATGCGTGCTTCTTGAGAGAAAAGGAGAGCGACATAGTACTTTTGATCGCCATGAAAACTGTACTGGGATGGCTTGAACGCCAAATAAACGAGGGGGAGACGTAATCCTGACAAAGTATAAACCATTTTCAGGGCTTAAGATTTTTTTTTTTTTTTGGGAGGGGGGTGGGGATGAGTGTTAAAAAGGAGAAATGAGAGACTGATGTGGAGTTAGATTCTAATGGGGAAAGAGTTGAGAATAAGCCGAGAGACGCGTCATCTCATTATTGTTGCCTTTTGTCCGGAAGAATACAGGAAACAAATTGAAAACAAATATTACAGGGCGGAAATGTGTGAGAGAGAGAGAGAGAGAGAGAGAGAGAGAGAGAGAGAGAGGGAGGGAGTTGTACTACGGTGGAGGTGGCGGTTTATTGCAGAAGAAACAACGGTTCGGAATGCCACGTGTGACGCGAGGAAGGGGAGTGAAGGGCTCAAATTGTTTTTGATCCTGCAAATGAAAATCATCATCAATGTTTCAGTATCTCAATCATTATCATAATAAAATTTCATTAAAATGTATAAATAAAAATTAAGTCTATTCAAATATTATAGTAGTTCTTTTTAAATCTTCAAGCATCTTTCTAATATTAACAATTTTAAATTAATAATTAAATTATCCCTTATTTAAAAGGAAAAACAATAATCAATGATCTCTATATGAAATGTATGTCAATCAATCATTTAAGCTTGTTTTTCATTTGATTTTTGACAATAATTTGCCCTTAAATGATATAAATTTCATATAAAAGTTTTTGATTGCTATTTTTGCTATTTAAAATAAAAATAATGGGTTCATGTAAAAAGTTACGTTTTCTTATTCAATTCTTATGACTCACAAAATAAAAATTGTGGTTACGTAAACAAAATTTATAATTGGTTATTTTTAAAATTTAGACTTCAATAATAAAATTTTTTTACTTATATTTAATTCTTGCAATTCACGTGATAAAAGTTGTAATTGTTTAAACAAAAGTTGTAATTGATTATTGTTAAAACTTAGACTTTAATAATAAAAGAAATTTATGTAGAAAATTATAATTTTTTAATTACAGAATTAAAATTATGATTGAGACTGGTTATTTTTAAAAATTTTTATCAATCATAAAAAAAATTTTATATGAGAAGTTGTGATTTTTTATTTAATTTTTACGATTTATAAATAAAATTTGTGATTAAAAAATAGAGCTAAACTCATTTTTTTATTTTAAATAAGGAAAAATTTAGTTATGTAACTTAAAATTATTAATGTCAAAAAGATACTTAAAAACTTTAAAAAAATTATAACATTTTAAGGGACTTATTGTTATTTATCTATTTATGTGAGATTTTATTATCATTTTTCTATCATTCAGTATATGAGTCAATTCATCAATTTAATTGATTGATAATTGATGCACTCCCTCCATCTCAATTTATAAGACATTGGTAGAAGAGATTAAATATTTTAAAATATAAGATACTTTGATAAAAATAAAATTTTATTAATAAATTTTTTTATATATCCTTCCCATTATATTATTTTTTCATAAATGAAATATTAATTGTGGTTATTGTTGGAAGTTTATATTTTTATTTTAAAAAAATTATAAAATATATTTAATAAGTATTATTGATATATGTAATCTTATTTAAAATATTTTATAAATTAAAATGACGGGAGATTAATATCAGGAATTACATACCAATCAATCACCCATGTTCAGTTTCACGGAAAAAAAAAACATATCAATATTTAACATATTCTTATTCTGTACGTATATATATAATTTATTACATTGTGTAATTCCACACACGCAAAAACCCGTCTGGTTTAAATTACATTCAATTTCTCTCAATAATTGCTGGATTATTCAATTGAAAAGGAGGGGGGAAATAAAATTCATCTACCAGTCTATTAGTCAGAGAAATTATCATTACATATTACTCTTTTCATTTAAATTATAAAAATATTTTTAAAATAATTTTTTATCTCAAAAATAAGACATTTTAGGTAAATTAATTTTTAAATAAATGCACCAATTCTAATATTATCTTTTTTTTTATAATTTTTATCCTTTCTCTTTTCAATATATAAATGATGAGTATTTTTTAAAATTAATATGTTTATTTTGAAAGATAAGTTGTTAATGTATTTAATGAGGTTTTATTAATATGTAAGATTTTATCTAAAAGTATCATATAATTTAAAAAAAGAAGATATCATATATTCCATATTATTCATAATTTCATATCATCTCCAATAAAAAGAGCTGGAGTCCAGATTTCATGTTCAAGTTTGAAGGTACATTAAATATGCTACTCTCTCCATTAAAAAATATAAGATTTTTAAACTGAATCTCACCTTCAAATAAAATAATTACCTACTTTTCAACTAATCTTATCTTTCTATATTTATCTCTATTAAACACTCTATAATAAATATAAAGTTATTATCAATAGGGACACTTTGAAAAAAAATAATAATTACCCCTCAAAAGATTAAAAATACCTTACATTTTTAATAAAGGGAGTAACTCATTTTATCTCCCACCGGTATTATGATATTCATTTAATTTTATTTATAAATTATTTTTAACTTATTTTATCATAATTGAAAAATTTAATATTATTAGCTATATCTTAAAATTTAATAAATTTTTAATTTTATTTCTATTACAATATATATATATATCAATATCAAAAATTATAGATATATATATTTTAAATATATATATATATATTTTAAAAAAACTTTCTCTTACTCATATTTAATGGATGACATAATAGAAAAAATTTATAATAAATTAATAACGTGATTTATAAATATAATTTAAAAAAATATTTTTTTATCTTATATATAATTAAATTAGAAAGAGTTAAATTAATTTATTTTAAAATTTTAAATTTAAATAATAAAATATTAGTTAATGTTAAATAAATATATTAATAATATTTTTTAAAATACTCGCGAAGCCATATGGTAATGATGCCCCCAAACAAGGGGATTCATGCTGGTATGGCCGAGGGTAGTGATACTCACACGTTTAGCAGGATATCAAGCGATAAATAAAAAAAAGTAAATTACAATCTATTTTGCTTAAATTATAGGCTTCTTCCCCTCTATTTTCTAAACATACACATTAATCTAAGGAAAAGACATAAAATCTCTTTAAAAATATAATAAATAATTTAAAATCCTTCAAAATGTTATAATTCTCCTAAAGTTTTTAGAATTTTTTTATCATTAATAAATTTATATGCATGATTAAATTATTCTTATTGAAAATAAATAATTTACAACTTGCTTTTTATATTTGCAACAATGCAAAAAAAAAAAAAATCACAACTTCACATGTTAAATTTCTTATTTAGTGTTTCATTATTGTGAATATAAGAAAAAAAGTTACGAATTATTTATTTTCAACAAGAGTAATTTGATAATTTATATAATTTATTAATGACAGAAATTTTTTAAGGGCTTCAAAAAATTATGACATTTCAAGGACCAACTTGTCATTTATTTATTTCAGAGAGATTTTATTATCATTTTTTCTTAATCTAATTGTTAATGCTCTTAAAATATTTTGTTAAATATTTTAAAATATTTAATTTTTTATTTGTAATTATGTTGATATTTATAAAATTATTTTACCTATATTAACATTATTTATAAAATCGAACTGAACCAATTGATCGAATTGGTGATCCAGTCGCGTGTCTAATTCAATTTTGTGCTTTTTTATGTGTAATGGTTAACCCAATTAACTTAAAATTTGTTTGGATTAATCCGGCAACCCTATAACTCAAGCTGGTTGGATGGGATATATTTTTTTAAAAATTTCTGAACCTAAAATGACATAGCTTTGGGATTCCAAAAATTAAAAAAAAAAAATCAAAATCTACAATTAGAAGCATTGGGCCCTTCACTTCAGATCACTTTCAGACTTGAGACTTTAACTTTAGATTCAAAACTTCACTACTCCTCCATTCTCCCTCGCCTTGTCGCCCTCAGACAAGTGATGAGTCAACCAGCTAGCCAACAGAGCTCCATGGCTTCAGCACTCTTTCTCAGCCCTCAGAGCTTCACAGCGTTCTACATCTGCGAGTTTGTCTTCTGTGTCTGAAAGGAAGGTTAGGAGTTGTGAAGGTGAAAAAATGGAGGACATAGGGAAAATGGCATATGAAAGAAGGAAGAGAGAATGACATAAAAAATGAAGAGTAAGGGAAGGAGGAATCAACGAGGAAGAAAGAGAAAAGGTTAAGGGGTGATTGATGATGAAAGTAAAATCAATGTTGAAATTGTGATTACAAGAAAAATAACATTCATAAATAAAAGAAAAAAAATTAAAATTTCAGATGAATTGATATTAATAATGAGTAAAACGGATGAATTAAAATTTTTCGTTTCAATAAGAATTAGATAAGAGGACTTTCTTAACTCTTACCTCTTTATTCTATACATAGAGCGTTTAAGTCATCTCATTCAAGGAGAGGTCACTAAAAGAATTAGAAGCCTATTAGGATAGGCACCCAAGGTCCCAAAATCTCTCACCTCTTCTTTGCTGATAATCTTATCCTTTTGTTGAAGTTTTATCCCACCAAATGAATGTCATAAGAGATGTCATAACTAAATTTTGTCAAGGTTCTGGACATTGCGTAAATCTCTCCAAGTTTAAAGCTTTTTTCTCCAAAAATGTCAATTTCCATCAGGCTCAGGAGTTTAACAACATACTTGGCATTGGAATTATTGTTGACCTCGGCAAATACTTTGGTGTCCCTCTCCTTCACCAGCGAGCTTCTATTAAGACTTATCACCCCATTCTTCAAAAAGTTTGCAATAAGCTCTTTTCAATGAAAGGCAAGTATCTCTCCTGTTGGTAGGGCTGTTCTTATTAACTTTATTCTCATTGTCATTTCTAACTATACTATACAAATCATCCTTCTCCTAAAAGGGATTCTGAATGAAATTGAAAAGATTAGAAGGAATTTTTATTGGAATTGGGGTACGTTATGTAGGAAAATGTATCTTGTTGCTTGGGATACCTTAAAAATGGACAAGAAAGATGGAGGATTAGGTTTCAAAGATCTATATAAACAAAATATAGCTTTTATGATGAAACTTTGTTGGGGATTATTAGCTAGGCCTAACTCCCTTTAGGTTCAAGTTCTAAAAGCCGAATATAAATGTGGGTCTAATCTTTACCCCTCTTTCTTGAAGAAAAAGTGCTCTTCCGCTGCCTAGAATGGCATAGCTGCTGTTTGGGGGATCTTCATTGCTGAAATTGGTAGGAGAATTCACAATGGTAAAAACAAAAAGTTCTAGTGGGATTTATGGACAATACTTGGCACTCCTCTTATTCAATATGTGAATAAAAATCATCATTTTCTTGACCCTACCGCCATCGTTGATCATTTTATACTTCCCAATGGAGACTGGAACATTCATGCTTGGCTTAACTTCCTTCCTCTTTGGGTTATTCAAAAAATCAAATGGATAAAAATACCTAATAATAGCCTTAAAGACTACTTCATCTGGAGAAAATTCTCATATGGGAACTTCAATATTAAATCAACTTAAGCTTCTCTTCAGAACTCGAGATCCCATCCTACGGGCACATTCTAAAGGAAACTTTGGAAGTGGCCCATTCCTGAAAAGCAAAAGCACTTTTTCTAGCAAGTTTACCATGAGAGACTCCCACTAATTACTTAAGAGCCTCTAAAGGACTATTTTTAAGTGCAAATTGCCCTTTGGAGTATAGCAGTGAGGAAAACATTCTTCAAGATTGTGAGGGTGCCAAACAAGTGTGGTCTTATTTTACTAACTCTTTATATCTGTAATCTTTTTGTTCCTCTAATTTGCAGGTTTGGTTGAAGATAAACTCCCAAAAGAACATAGGATACAAGATGCCGAATTCTCCTACTTGACTTTGCACCTTCTGCACAATTTGTTGGCTTTTTTGGAAAAATGGGTGCAAAGGGATAATGGAAGGCTAGAGATATAATGCAATGGAAATTAATCACAACGCTCAATACCTAATCTCTGAAACAATGGAGAATGGAAAAATTAAGCACAAAATCTTCCATAATGTTGAGCAGACAGAGGAGAAGTGGTGTCCCCCCAACTGATTTCTTAAGGCTAGACGTGGATGGATCTGCCAACCAATTAGGTTTTGCTTTATGTGGTGGCATTATTAGAGACTCTAACAGCAACTGGATCATAGGCTTCCAATAAAAACTTGGGTTATCCTTCTACAACTGCCGAACTTCTAACTGTGGGTTTGGGATTAAAATTATGTAAGCAATTCCAGTTGAACAAGATTAAATGCCATACAGACTCTCTTAAAGCTCTCCAACTACTCAAGACTGGCGCAGGCTTGGAACACCCATTGCACTCTAAGATCCTTGACATTCAAGACTTGTTATACTCTGACTGGGATATGGAGATGATTCACTCCAGACGAGAAACTCTCCAAGTTGCTAATTTTCTAGCCAAAGATATTCATAACACTGCCATTGATTTCAAAATCTTGTATGAACCCCTTTTTAGATGCTGCGGCCTCTACTGGGCTAACAAACATCATGCTACTCTTTAGTTTGTAACTTCTCAGGATCTTTCCTGTCTTTCTAAAAAAAAAAATTCTATTAGCTCAAAAAGACTATTAAAATTAAATTGAAACGTTACATTTACTGTAATTATCTTTATTAAAATATATTGAAAGTAAAAATTGTATAAAAATTAACATGATTAAAATAATTTAAAATAAAATTATTTGGTAGAAATCACTTTCATGTTATTATATTTTAAAACAAAATAATTTAATAAAAATATGTCATTTTTAATTTGAAAAATTAAAAGTGGATAATTTTTTTAAAAATTAAATATAACAACGTAAAAAATAAATTTCAATTTAGCTCTTGGCTTGTTGGTGAGACCATTTTGCTTTCACCTATAATCATGAGTTCAACTTGACAATAAGCATTTCAAACTCGAACAATATATGTATATACTCACTCTGTTAAAAAATATAAAATATATTTTTTAAGAGTTTGACACTAAAAATGTAATGCATTTTTAATATTTTAAGGTATAATTATTGCATTTTTTTAAAAGTGCAGCTATTGAATAATCACTTTTTATTTATTTTAAAATAAACACCTTATTACATAGGAGTAAATATGAAAAAGATAGTGTTAGTTTGAAGATAAATAAATACTTTATTGTGAGATAAAATTTTATTAAAAATATCTTATATTTTTAAATAAAGAGAATATATAATATGATAAAAATATGTAAGGCACACATTTATAAAAAACATGCAGTTAGAAAAGATGGAGATATGCACGGCGCTGAGATAGAGCAATGTGAGGGCTAAGGGCATGAGGCGGAAGCATAGGGGGTAGATGATGATGAAGCAAAAGCTAGCTCTCGTATCAAATAATATGAAGCAAAAGGGAAGAGGGTAGACATGGAATAAATATTTTCCTCCTAAAATCTCTCGGTTTATAGAGAGAAAAATTGGGGCAAAAAATATGGTGGATCCCACATCTTATATTTTCTCCAACATTTCCTTCCTCTCACTTTTTCTTTCTCATTTAAATAAAAAAAAATTATTTTTTCCTATTTTTTTTTCATATTTTCTTTCCTCACATATTATTACCCCATCTAAACGGAGCATAAAAGACATTAAAAAGTTGCATGCTTTGAATACACCTGTCCCATAATATCTCAATTTTTGGTGTCTAGGTGGGGCTCCAATGTACGCACCGAAACACGCCATTCACAAACATGCATTATTTAATAAAAAAATATATAAAAAATAAAAAAATTTCCTGCAAAATATTTTTTATATTAATTCAATCCATTGCAAATTTAAAAGCTCCAAATTACTGATAATATATTTAAATTTCAAATATAACTGTTTATTTATAAATAAAATTTTCCTTTGCAATACTTAATTTTCAAAAAGATTTTTAGAGAGTTATGATGAAAAAAAAAAGAAAAGGATAAATAAGAGAAAAATTATAACATCATTATATTTTAAAATAAAAAATAATATACAATTTTTTTTATTTTTTCCTTAATTTTTTAATAACACTAATATATAGTAGCCCTTTTGGATCGCAATATAAAGTATTGGTAATTACTTTATGGTTTAAAAAAAAATAGATGAAGCCTTACTTAAAAAATTTTTATATTTTTTTAATTATATCCTCATTAAATGTATTGTATAAATGTTTTAATAACAAGAATTAAAATTTCAATTCATTATTTTTGAAATGAATGAATAATAAATTTAAAGATATAGTTGTAAAACAATTATAAAAATTACCCAACACCCTACATTTTAAATTAAAGCTTTTAAAAGATACATTATATTATAATGTTGAGGGAGTAAGTCACTAATTCATTTGAAGAACAATATTTTATACTTGTTATTAAATTTTCAACTGCAAAATACTCCACCTAATCTTTATAGAAATATAGAGCATCTTCTATAAAGATCTTTTGATCTTTAATATATGACACTTAGTAGAATATTAATTACGTATTTCTACTATTATTTATATTTAAACTCATTAACTATGAAATAAAATATAACAAAAATTTAAAAATTTTCATTTAAATAAAGATAAAATTAAAATCTTATTATATTTGCGTGCAAATTTAATGACTTAGTTATCATTCTTTGGTTATCATTAGGTGCTTTATAATAAAAATAATAATATGTTTCTATAGTGTAATAATTTTATCTAAAATTCAAGTTACAGTTATTTTCAATTGAAAATTATAAATCAGCTTTTATTATTCATTTTTATTTTGAAACAAATAAAATATTAAGTAAAAATGCTTCCAAAATATCAAATTTAATTTAGATGTCGATTTTAATGTTCCCAAACTGATGCCAAGCATATGTGCTAAAGATGCCCTATAACTTGACATGGTAGATTTCACCCCACCATTTTCAAAATGAGGCCCTCGTGTAACATTTCATCCGTTTAAAAATATAAAAAAAATTATTATATATTTCTTTATTTTTATTTATAAAAAAATCACAAATTTTAAAAAATATTTATTACATTTTTTTTCAAATTATCGCCCATGTGTTTATTATATTTAACCAACTTTTAAAATCCATGTTTATTATATTAAAAAGATAATTAAATCCAATTTCTTTAATTCAAGACATAATTATTATACTTAAATAATTTCCTTAAATGATATGAATTGATTATTTTCTCTTAAATTTGAAAATACATGAAGCATACATTAAAGCCTTTCCTTCACCACGGTTCTAACAAGATCTCTGCTGTTCCATACAAATACCAGCGTCTCCACGTGCACTGACCTACAACGCGCTCCCTGGCAGGGGGCTGGGAGATTAAACGGACATCTTTGGTACTCGCACCTTGCTATCTTCAAGCTACTCAAGAAGTATCTGTCTGCATGGGTCTGAAGCATTTCAGAAAAGACAGGTCAGATCACTTTTACCATGGATTTCGGATTAGAACTGTCGCGCGAAGGTGGTCTAGGAAAAACACATAACACAAGGCCTCGTTCATGCTAATGGGCGTCGTGTAGGCTTTATGATAAATCATAATTTTTATATATTTTATCCAACATTTTCCATACATTTTAATAATAATTTTAAACTAACTTAAATTTATTAAACATTATTTGAATTATTAGCTGATCTTGATCAATAATATAATTTTGAATTAATTATAGAAATTTTGGACTTAAATTGTGATTATTTTATTTTTTTATTCTTAATATGGTTTAATTTTGTCAATCTTTAACTGAACTTAATTTGAATTATTACACATTTAAGTTTTTGGCTATTTTGCTAAAAATATTTAACTGCTGGAAAAATTAATTTTGAAGTATTTCTTGAGATATGAGATCTATTTTGAATATAGCATGCACTAATAGGTGCATTTGATTTTTTTAAGTTAATGAAATTCAATTATAAAGATTTAATCTTGATAATTGAAAGAACATTCAAGGGCTATTAAAAAACACAAGACAAGGAAGGATTTATCAAGGTTTATTAAAAATACAATGGGAATTTTCAACCAAGAAAAATTAGATAACTTTATCACTTTTCTCCTTTTATTTTTTCTTATTTGCCCCTTTTGAATTCAATGGTCGAAATTTCAACCCACCCTTTTCCTCTCATCAATTTACAGAGCCGCTGGGAATACAGAAAAAGAGAGCTCTCCCTCTCTCGTTTTTATGTGGTTCCAGTTTGTTTTCCCAAGCAACCAGCTTCAACTCTTGAATCCTCCAATGTTCCATCAATTTTCACGCCACTTCGCCACCCCCGTAATCGACCACACACATATGGTCATTTCCCATCCAATTTATAATTCATTTTAACATCTCATCTCTCCTCTCCTCCTCCACGGATTTGGCGCAAACATTATCATCTCATTTTCCTTTCCATTCTCACGTACCAACCCCCCTCTTCATCACCCATCAACCACTCTCCATATCCATTATTTACTTACCATGGTCATGGATTATGCGGTGAAAGGAGGAAGAACATCATTCATGAGAATTTGAGCTAGCTTGGGAGATAACTTGGGATGAGGATGATGGAAGCTAAAGCCTGAGATTCACACTTGAAGGTTATTGAGGAGTAATTTTTCATTTATCTTTTTAATTCAGGAGCTTAGAATTATTTAGCTCTAAATGATTTTAAGTTATAATACTTGAGCACAATCTAATTTTAAGTTATAAATATTTTTGAATCATGAATTGGATTGATATTTGAATTGCTTGAGTCAAATGAATATCTGAAACTTATGTTTATATACCCTTGCTTTGCCAATTAAATTAATGATTGAGCTTTTATTGTTGATTTAATTATCATTGTGGTATTTGTTACAAATTTGATTTATTCTTTTTACACCCTGATTGTTCAATTGAGTTGTTAATTTGTCTAATTGTTCAATTAGATAATTTAAATACTTTTTTCAAATTTAGTTTGAATTAATCATCATTAGTTTTAATGGATTTAATTTGCCTAATTCATAGTTATAGCATTTGCTTCACTATAAGATCTCTAGTGGATTAAATGTTAGACTTTACACTTATAAGTTCCCTTTGTTTTAATTAGATAATTGAATTTATTACTTCCACTCTCCTATTATTCCCTTTGATCTAACTAATTAAATTAGACTAGTTAATTCTATGTAAAGTCTTAAGTTGTCTCCCTTACCACATTTGAATCAAACTTTTCTTAATTTTTGATTAATTAATCCTTTTTGTCATTTAATTAATTTCTTTAGTTTACATTTTTTTTTCTTGACACAACCCCCAATCATAATTTAAGATTCATGCATTGCATAATAGAATTTAATTGTTAAACATTAGCATTAGCTTCCATTTAGATAATTTTAGTGACATAAATTGCATTTTCTTATTAGCATTTTAGTGTAAAAATCTAGCATTTATTTTTAATTTTTTTTATTAGTAGTTAAATGCCTAGAACTAACTTAAGGTAACCCTAAATTGCTTCTCAGGAAAAATAACCTAAGATTGATCTATATTATACAAAGTCAATTTTAGTTTAATTGAATGTCAATATGACTAAGGCAATCCATCACTTAATTATCTCATGCCATGGATAAATGAGGCTTAGTTCAATTATCTCAGAAAAATGGGCATGACTCCCCAACAAACATATATAAAATCTAAACTAACAACGAAAGACATGACAACCCAAGAACCGGTAAAACCACAAATTCGATAGATAAGGATCGGATGACTTACTTTTGGAATGTCAAAATCACCATTGCTTGCATCGCATATATCCAGAGACAACTTTCTAAGCATTGGAATCTGACAGTTGACATAGAAGACAGCATAAGATCCTACAATTTTACTAAACCATAAATGAACACACACACACACACACACACATCACACCTTTGAAGCAGCATCAAAAATGAAGTTTTTCTGCAGCCCAGGTCCCTGAATGATGTTTGTCAGTTAAAAACCCCAATAATTAACACATTGATCATTAATGACGAGGTTTAGCGAGTGAGACAAATGAAGGTGGATCTAGGCGATAGACAAAAAAGTTGACTTACGTTACAAATCATAAAGCTTCAAACATGCATGATACAACCTCAAGTATTTATTCAATTGTAATCATCAATCTCCTTCATTTATCAGAAATTCAGAATCAAGTTCATGGATTATCATCCCATGAATTGTTTGGGCCTTTGACAAAGAAATACAATCCAAGAATATGGATGAGGCCTTCATTTGTATAATTACAGATACATTTCTAATAGCACTAAAGATCTCAGATCTCTTGCTCTTGGAAGCATAAGTAGAAATCAAGGAGAACAGTGATTACACCAGTTAATCTTCATCAATACTATTTGTGGTCACACATCTTAGACAGCAATGTTAATACTTAGAATTTAGAGTCTCAACATTAAAATGCTCAAATTATAAAGCTCTAAAGGTGACTTGAGTTCTAGCACTGACCAAAAATAAGACGGAATTCAAGAGCAAACAAAAATTAATTATGAAGATTGCAGGAATCCAACAAAATTCCAATTGGAAAATATGCGGTATTCAAATCATCAAGATGGCTAGGACTCGAAAATACATGCAACACAAAAGAAACCATACAGAAAAGGTAATAGAATGCATGCCCACATTATGACGCAGGAGAAGATCTTCAATAGCTTTGCAGCCAAAAAGAGAAGAGACCCCATTTGCTGTTATTCCCCCACATTCCTGAACAATAGGTGTCAACAATATTAAAAATTTTACGAACTAAAAGACAGTTCTCTCAACTCATACTGAATGAAACATTTTAAATATTATGCATTCGATAAATTAAGTCAACAATATAAAGGATAATGAATTGCCACTAGCCAATCAACGGGGAGATACTCCCAGTCCAATACGTTAGCAGCATTTCTCTGAAGTCTCGTAAATAGTTATGCAATATTTGGTACACAAAAAAGCATTTTCTATAAAATAAAATAGGTGCATTTCCCATTTCCTTTTTAGAAAACACTTTTCTACCAACTAAACATTACATTAGAGACAAATTTCTCTCACTCCACAATGGACCCCACTCCTTTTCATCCAAAAATTCGTACAACTTTTTCCCTCAAATTTCTCAAGTATAGCCAGAAGATAAAAACAAGTGCAGCTGTCTTGATGAAACTCTAGAGTCTAGACTGACAGAGAAGACCATCATCTAAAACTACATAGTTGATTAATATGTAGTTTAACGCAGATTGTTCTTGATTTCAGGGTTATAAACTGAGCAATTAGTATACATATTACAAAATACAAACCCATTGTATGACTATTTTCATCAGTGGTTTTGACTTTAGCCTTTGGTCCAAAAAGAGTAAAAGACTATTTTCATCAATATGTTAGAGCACAATGTACAGAAATTCTTGTTAGTTCATGGGTACAAGGAGATTATCAAACCTCTAAATGGATTGAAATAAGCCCTGGCCATCCACGCGAAATTATCTGTTGAGAATCTGCTAAAAGGAGTAATGTAAACAAACAAAAAGGTTTATCATTAGTTGCTTGAAATTTGCAGTGGTTAAAAGCTTTACTACAGACCCCCTTCGAACTCAACATTGATGTAATCACGTCCACCAAATGAAGTGGTGACAAGAAACAAATCCTCACCTGAGTTAAGAAGAGGACATCCCAATAAAGAAAGTTCAACCAAATTTCTGCAGTTTTGAGTCAGAATAGCCAAATCATCATTGGTCATCCAAGGGGCTACTCTTTGAAGCTTCAACTTCCTAAGATTTCGCGTGAAGAATTTGAAGCTGGATATGGATATATCACCAAAACAATAGCACAGAGCTAACTCTCGCAAGTTTGTCAAGGATGTAGCTATGTTCACCACAACAACATCAGATATTACCTATTCAGAATCAAAACAACGAACCATCAATCAGAATTTTGAGATTGTCATAAAATGTGAGAATTCAGGATAACTGCAAGAATAGTTAGAGCACAGTGACAGATGACAAATCAAGCAATAAAAGTCTATTGAATCAAACTATGTACTCATAAGGAATCGGAAAGATAAGACTTTAGCAGTTAATCAGATCAATTCAAGGCAAAAGTCTTGGTTTGCCTGATTGAAGGAGACTGGCAATGATGAACCTAAATGGATTATGATCAAGGAATTGCATTATGAGAAGCTTTATTGCGGAAAAAATATAGGCACTCCAAGCCAATAACATGCAAATCTCCTAGTGCCGTTTCAATTTCATTATGCAGATAATACAGATAGTTTGACGGCTCATAAGAATATTTGAATAGGTAGAAACAGTAACAGTACTATGATATTCATTCTTCTGGGAATTGACCTCCTGGCCCGGATAATAATGCTATGGCTTCTGCTTAACTTATGGGCAGATGATTTGGCCTATGTAGCTTCTCTTTAGAGCGCCACAGGCACCATTCTTTTTTCAGATGTCTTGATTGGACATGTTAACATTGCTACTGCTCCTAAAGGAAAAAAATGTCCACCTATATGATACAAAAATTTCGGACCCGTAAGTAATTTCTGGGAGTGTATATATTGCTCTTTAACTTTGTTACAGATATGAATAAAAAAAAAACCAATCCTAGGCCTTTCCCCACTAGCTTAAACTTTTGGAATGAAATGGTAACTGACATGCCATCAAAGCCTTCATCAATTGGTCAAGAAGTCGATCCTTGACCTTCACCAAATCTGATTTATATCACACTTTCATCATTTGCAGTATTTTTTTTCCCTTTATTATTGAGGAAGTAAGAATCTGAAATCCAAAGGGAAGATAATGAATACCTGAAACTGAAATATTATTGTTTCTAGCATGGGACAAATTGCAGGTAGTTTTCTCAGTGCATCTTCACCAAGCATTGCACCTAAACCTACATTGATTTTCCGTAACATCACCAGTGCAGGTTCCATAGCTTTCAAAGAGAAGGATGAAAAGCCCCATCCAAATTCAACTTCTTCCAATCTGCACCTCTTTCCTAGCTTGGCACACAGTTCTTCATGCAAACAAGAGGAGATAGATTCTCTTTCCTCAATAAAATTTTCCTCTTGAAATAAATTATTACAGCCTCTAACTTTTAGGCATTTCAAATTTGGATTTCCTTCAATAATATGAGCTAATGCAGCTCCAGAAATCTACAAATGAAGAAAATGGATTATACTAAGGAAAATGTACAAATATCATATAAATGACAATACGAATAAAAACACTAAATATTTGGGATCTACAAAGTCACAATGGGCCAAAATATCAGTGCATAATGACCAAATTGTATTGCCCAATTCCGCATGTTAATTGTTCATCATTCAACATTAAATCAATTAGTAGATCGGATAGAAGATATTAACATAAGAAGCCATGAAATTCAACACCGTACCACTCAACTTAATCTTCTGTTCCACAATTGAAGCAAGCAGGTTTAGCTTGTAATTTCACCAGTAAACACAACAAAATTATCAATTAGGACTCAATAGGAAAAGTATATAACCCCTTTATTAGCCAGTAACAACCTCCAGATCACAGCACATTGATGGTTATACAATTGAAGGAGACACGAAAATCTTAACTACTATGTGTCAAGTCAAAATTATTATATTAACGGTTATATTTCAGAATTTAAGCGACATTCCATACCTCCTGCATCAACTAAATCTAACTCTCTGTTTCCACAAAATAATAAGCAATTCAGTAAGACTATGGAGAGATACACCAAACACGCTAGGAGTTAAAACTTTGATGACTGACCTTAGTATCTGAAACATCAAGCATCTGCAAGGAAGAACCTGGGAAGTTATTCAGTACTTGGTCAACCATGTCTGTCCCTCTCAAGCATAGACCCCTCAGCAGTTGCATTTGAGACATAAGCTTAAGCAGAGATAACTTATTTATACCTACAAAACAAATCAACACATGTTTCTCCACATAGTTCTATATGCTAATAATAGCTCAAAATGGATTACACAATCCAAGCTAAATGAAACAATTGTCCCGTACAAACTATCAAAAATCATAAAGCATCATATGTCCTCCGTAATGTTCAAATAATTGTGGCAAAAGTACTCTCTGTCCCTAGAGTTTGAGGACAGTTTTAATTTTGTCTTGAATGTTTTTTTTTTTTTTTTGGCTTTTCAATTCCATTCTACATTTATCTGAAACATTTCAATGCGATCCTAAAGCCTAACTCCGATATAAAAGGAAATACTTCCAAACATGCAAAACCATTTACTTCCTGTTCTCTGCTTTGGGTGTTGAGGACTTGCTCAGAGGGGATCTAACAAAAAATAAGGCAAACAATTTATTGTTGTTGTTGTTGTTGGTTGTGGGTATCTTCAAGTACAACTTACCTAGTCCATTTTGGAGAATTCACATATAAAGTAGAAAAAAAATACAACTTACCTCGGCAGCCCCCCATATGCAGGGTTTGAAGTTTAGATGCTACAGAACTCAAATGCTTATCTCTAAAATGTTGAGAGAAAAGCTACCACAATCTGAAATAGCTGAGGAAAGAGCTTGAACTGAATTTTCCCCAAAAGAAGTATCGCAAACCACAATTGAGTTAAGTTGTACACATTTGCATATGAGATCTGATATGCCAGTGTCTGTGACTGAAATGCATCCTTTAAGATTCAGGTGATGCAGTGAAATGCAAATTTTGGAGATGTACTGGAGATCTGAATCTGGCATAGACAATTAAAGAGCACTCGATTGGTTATTAATTGAAAAAAAAGATATAAAATTACTACAAAATCATTTAGATAAAATGCGTGCATCATATAAGCAGCTCACCATAGATATCAGTTCTTCCTTCTAAGGTGAGCTTGGTAATGTTAGAAAGTAGTAGTCCAGATTCATAGAATAAGAAGGCATCCACTGAACTACATTTCACAAAAGAAGCCCTCTCTGATACCAGTGATATCACTGAATGACTTGATGATATGATTGAGACTAATGTTGGCATTAGTGGAGTAATATCAACAGTCAAGTCAATTTCACAGACCTGAGGGCACTTCAGTGCTAATTGAAGAAAATTAGTTGTCCTGATGTTCAGAAGATAAGCAGCTCTCAATATTTTTAAAGAAGGAAAAGACTTGCAAAAGCATTCAATGGCACCTTCAATTAGCAGTCTTTGACACTTTGAGATATCTACCTCCTGAACTGCTTCAAAGGACAAGGTTCGTGACATTATTTGTGGGAATGAACTTTTGTCTCTTATGGCGTGTTCAAAGTTATTGCAAAGCAGTTCAATAATATTTCTTAATCCGAGATCCATTGGAGGTGATAGAGGGACCAGTGACAGAAGCAGAATTGCAGGTGTTATTTGGGGACAATCTGAAAGGTTCACTTTCTGCATTCAAAGAAAAGTTTCCATCACTTAATCACAATAAAATTCCTAATAGATGATATCTGACTCATTGCAGAGAACTAAGACTGATAGGTTCCAAGATGAGTAAAGAGAAATAAGGAACATAAATCTCTATTAACATATGAAATCAAAATCTAACTTCAAAATATTAATAAGAGAACATAAAACTGATAGAAGAAAATAGAAAGAATATATCTATCAAGATGATATAGAACAAGAATCTCGTTCTATATTTCTTTCAATAGCCATGCTTAGGTGAATCTCCAAAGGACCAAGTCTGAAAAATCTGTTTTATTCGTGATATGCCTACTTCTAAGTTGCTAAGCATATTTATAATGCTAAATATAATCTAAAATAATGAATAAAATCTAGATAACTAGATAATTAAATAAGACTGAATAAAATCTCCTAGAATCTATATATATATATAAAATACTAAATAAAATCTAAAGAATTAAACATTTGAATAAAATCTAAATAACTAGATATCTGAATAAACATATAGATATCTAAATATCTATATAAAATCTAGATAACTAAATATCTAAATAAAATCTAAACAATATTATTAAATAGAAAATATATAAAATAATATTTATTCATAATATCTATTTTTCTAGATCACCCATTATCTCATAACTCTATCAAAGACAAACTGACTCTGACTTGAACACGTATGAAGAGCATGAATTACAAATGCTGAACTCAAACGCTAAAAGAAACTAAGGACTGGTTTTCTGCACTGTTAATAAAATAGTCATTATTAAAAGTTGAAATGCCAAATGAATGGAAGTGGAGCAGCAAGACTTTGACTAAAGTAGACCAAATTGACTTTACATATAAGAGTCTGCAGCTTATACTATTGAAGAATTAATCGCCTAAATGTTCCATGAATCTCTTGACAAGTGTCACTAAGCACCAAGAAACCGCAAGAGTAAAGGTCAAAATAACCACCCTCAACCACCACTGTATAGTTAAGTGTTAACATTCAGCAAAGGCTTGCATTTATAATTATGCAACACTTATTCTCAAGTAATATCTGATAATCTTCAAGATCCATAATATTTGCTTGCTTCACCCCTTTCCCCATGCATACAAAAGAAAGTAGCAGAAGTTATAATTAAACAATCAATCAGCAAGAAAGCCAAATTCATATTCAGTGACTTCCATGTATTCAGAGTACCTTGGAATATTCTGTCAGTCGAATCCTGAGATGCTGCAAGTCATCATATCCTAAAAGATTTTGTGAACCCATGGGTGGAGTATTTAATTGTCTGAAAATTGAATCAAGGCTTTCTTCAGCAAGCTGTCTAAAAAATAAGAGTTTCTTTTCCCTGATCAACAAATATAGCAAGTTACCTTTCATTATCAAGATATTTCCATGTCAAGATTAACAAGAAACTACAGTGCCACGGGAAATATCTGAAAATTAGACTATACCTGCTGCAAACCACAATGGCAAAAGGCCAACACGAATCTGTTCATAACCCAGAAAAACAGGTTATTTAAGAAGAATGACAATGACATATTTAGTAAAAATGTTACAAGTGACAAAGTCAATAGTAAGATTGATAATATATTAAACCAAAATTGAGAGCATGGTTTATGCACAACTATCCTTTAAAATGACATATCAAATTACCAGATTGAAATTTAAACAAAAAAATTGAGGACAATTTGATTAATTTGATTACCTCACACAATCTTCCCTGATTGACATAATGCTTTGCAAAGTCCCTTCTAATGTAAAAACCATACAAATCCTTGAATAGAATACAGTAACAAAATTCAATGACAGATAATTATATTTTATAAGATTATTTTGAAAAATATGCAATTATTCTTTTACATTACCAAGGCTCATGTAGGCTTCCAAGGGAGAAGGCACTGGTGTATAAAATTTGAACACATTAAGATTGAAATATTTTTCTCAAAAAGCAAAAAAAAAAAAAACAATATAGGATCATCCAATCAAATACACAACATTGTACGATTGAGTTGAGCTCCATGTAAGGAAGTTTTGCCATACATGAATGTAAACAATTATAAATTAAGAAGTGTGAAAATCCCCTTCAACATACAACCACACATCCCAAGAAACTGCACAGTACATCAAAGATTTGCAGCGAACTTGTGCATAAACTACATATCCTTCATGACATTTAGGTTTCAGTTATCCGCAAACCAGTTGTTTAGTGATGCAAAAATCACTATTTGACTTGACTTCAGTCATATATAATAGAGTCATTTCAGCTTGCATTTTTCTCCTAATAATTTTTCTGACTAAACACAAGATGAAGAGAGATAAATCCTCACTTGTTTCAACAGTCTGTCACAGTTGTACTCAGCTCTGCCCAAGGTCTCCATATTTTCGAAGTTACATTCAAGCCAGTGTAAAAGTGCATCAGAAAGATGCATTTCACTGTTAAGATGTTACAGTATCAGATTTATAAATTACATAGAATTGAATCAAACTATTCTGTGAATAGTGTCAAGTCAACCTGTCAACAGTCAGGTGAGGATGCTCTATAGAAGACAACAACATGTTATATGGAATTTTTTCAAATAAAGTGCTATGTGATGCCCACATCTGCAAAGTAGAAAACCATATATCGTCAATTTCATAACATAATAATAAAAAAGATACAAAAACACAGGATTCACATTATCTACAGGGTATTCTTAAACCTTAAACCACTTTTAAAGTAGGACAGAGTATCTAACACTCCTCAGCTAACAGAACCATTGAAGTTAAAAAATTATCAAATCCCACTAATCTTGCCAAGCTCAAAATTGTAAAGCATTACCAGCACAACAAAGACAACAAACCTTTTGTGCTCTATCAACAACCAAATATTTGGATATAGTGCTAGGTTTCATTCAATAACTTCATTGAGTGTTCTTTTTTAGCTTCCTCTACCCTCGTTCAATAACTTCATTACCAGCATGAGCATTAAATTTTTAATTTCTACAGCTTGAACAGAACCAATATCAACAATTCATGCTTCACCTATTTTACTGTATGTTTTCTTTTGTAATCAAGTAGGAACGAGTTTATGACAGGAATAACAGGAAACTACATTTTACCCTCTTGAACTAAGAGCATGCCATAGAACAATGCTTAAAACAAGATCCTGCATGAATCATTTCAATCCAGTCTTCCATTAACAACACCCAACACTAGAGAGCTAATTCCACAAGTACATTATTGTTAGGCATAGAAGAAACCAATGGAGAAAAGTTTCACAGTTAAATTTAGAAACACAGCATCGTGAATGTCCTCATTTTGATGGGTCGAGACTCTAAAGCGAAGTAGGATTAAGGATTATAGAAAATCCTCTGACCTACTCGAAATACATTATCAAAGAGTAATGTAAGATAACAAGGTGGATGCCTGAGTTATATAGAGAATAGGAGCCAAGAACGTACAAAATTTCTTGCTAGATAGCTTGTGCATAATTCCAGCATAAAATCACTTTCTGCAAATGTAATCATTTAAAACCAAAAAAAGAAAAAAGAAAAATCATCTTTTAGAGTGAATTCCATAACGTTAAAGTCACAAAAGAATAATTCTGATAAACATCAAAACAACGTATTTTACCATGCTCCAAGCCAAATTTCCAAATTAGTATTATGTCCTCCATTTGCATCTGTATTGGTTGAGATCCTTTAGGTGAGGACACATCAGAAAACCACATTTTGCACCCCAACAGTAGTGAATCCACACCAAATAAAGTGCACCCTAAGATGTAGAAGAGAAAGATAAAAAGATGACTGCACAACAATGTATGAGATTTAAAAGGAAAATATATATTTGAAAGGGTGGAATTCTAGGAGAAACCATATAACCATTTGACATTGGAAAATATAAAATCATTAGTTAATAAAAAAGGCAATTCTTCTTTGTATAAAGCCATGTATTAATGTTCAATACAATGGATAACCTTGTTGAAGAATTTGATGTGCCATGTTAAATGACATCACATAAAATTATGTTTAAGCCAAATATAATCAATCTTTCATAAGACAAATTAAAAGGTGCTCTACTAGTAGTTGGGGAATTGGTTTTTTTCATACTCACCCTTTTTGCTCTTATCTTCCACTTTACAAATTTAAAGTTGTCAAAGACTCGAACAAAATGAACAAGGTTATAGTCCCAGATTACCTCATGAATAAGCAAGGTTCTTTGGAACCAATGAAATTAGACAGGTAAAACCAATCTACAATTTACCTCATAAAGAGAGAGGAAATTATCTGATGTAATCTCCAACGGGCAGTCATATAGATACTTCAGAATGTCCATAAATGGTAGCACGTTCCACTCAACAATGGTATAGCCCAGGCATGATTCACTGCAGAAGTTATAGGAAGCGTGTTATCAAGCCAGGAATTGTACAGATCTTCAAAGTCAACTAAAAGCTGCAAATTGCTTCATTGAAAGAAAAGGGGCAAAAATCAAAAAGGAAGGAAATAAGTAAAAAAAGGCAGCAAATTAGCCAACAAAATAATAATAACGTTAACAACAAGAAGAAGAAGCCTTTAAAGCATTAGATCAATTCGAATAGAATGGGGAAAAGCCAAAATCTTAATACTGTCAGAGACTCAGAGTGACGCCAGTTGTTCAATATACCATACATTCATCGCTTGAGCGAACCAAAGAAAAAGAGGGGGGGAACACAAATATTTGGTGTCATATAAAACTGGCTCATGGTCTGTCTCATTTTGAAGCCCCAGTTCGGGGGAAATATAAAGACGACTGGATAAGCAAGTTCCAGATTGAAGCGATGATATTCCCACCCAATGAGACTTATAAATATCATCTCCGCTCAAAAGTAACTATTAAGATTTACTTTTACCTGAAGCTCCCACATAAGAGGCCCCGGAAATAAGAAGATTGCTCAATGAGCCTGTTGCACAAAATGAAAAGAATTGCAAAGTGATTACACTTGAGCTAGGAGCTAATAAATTCAAACTCCACAAAGGAATCTAGCAACTTCTAACACAAAAGGAAGAAAGAGAACTCGGGTGCGGTTGTTACTCACAATTTTCGCCAAAGTAAAACGGAGGTCATAAGCATTGAGTAACTCACCTACTTCGACGTGCCCGAATTTTGATCGTTGGGAAACGGAGAATAGTCTGAAGATCCCGGTTGAGGATATCTGTGGCAGATAGATGAATTTCTTCCTTCCCGGACTCCGTTTCAGTTGAATCAGGGTTTTTGCAAACCAGTATAACATGCTCATCATCTGAACTTGACTCCATGGACTGTATTAGATGAGGTCGGTTTAGCTGATGAATCGTGAGAATTGTGTATCGTGTATGGCAAAATGGCAGCGGAACTTGCTGTTGTCATTAGTGGTTATGAAACGGAGTGCACAGCATTCAAATGAGCCCGGAGGACCGTGGATTGGGGGGTGCCCGGAGGCTTCCAGCGTCCTGCAGCAACTCTTGGCCAGTGCTATCCTGCCATTTGCGATTTGCACTTTTGCTTTCCTCGATGCCTTCTGGGGTCCCCCAGAAATTACTTGATGATTTACTTATTTATCTTTTTCTCTTCATTTATTAAAAAATTACCTTAATAATATCTTATATTTAAAAATAAAAAATTTTAAAAAATTTACTGTCTCCCACCTATTTATAAATTATTTTATTAAATTTATCAATATTATATAAAAAATTTATAAAATAAAAATATATAAAATTTTAAATATATTTTTATATAACAAATTTAAAAAGTAATATGTTATTTTTTTTATAGAAGATCATTTTAAAAATATTTTTTAAATACTCCCTGATCTTTTTTATAAGTTATTTTTATCAAATTCATAATATTAAAAAAAAATATAAAAAAAGTGTGTAAAATTTTAAATATATTTCTATATAATAAATTTAAAAAAATAATATTATATTTTTTTATTTTTTAAATATTATCTAAAAAGTCACACTATTTTTAAAATGTGTTTTGTAAATAAAATTAAAGAATTATTATATAACAAGTCATACTGTAATTTATAAACAAAACAAAATAGATATTATAAATGGGATGAAAGGGAGTAAAGACGAAGGAACACTTCTTTTACATTAATATTAAAAAAATTGATGAAAATGATTAAAAAAGAGGGAACGAATAATAATTTAAATCTGACCACAAGCAATTGTCGTCATCCATGACGGCATTAAGCCGCCGGTCCCTTGTCCCGTCGCTTCGTCTGGGGCGTCCTGAACTCCTGATTCTTCCATTATGTTGCATCACCATTTGGCCTTTTTCTTGGAGTATTTCACTGGCATCTCTTGGCATTTTGACCTGATTCCAAGTGTCATTGTATCAGTATAACGGGTGATTGAAATCTGATATATGTCCTCGCTATTTGATGTTGAATTTTTGTAATCTTGTTTTACAAGGAGTCCTGTATCATCTCACGGTTCATTTTATACGCCTTTTCTAGCTCCATTTTATTTAACTGTGATGGCAAAGACAAGACTATAATTGCTATCCATTTGTTCTAATAAAATTGTGCGCATTTTTCCCTCTTCTTCTTGAACGGAGCTGTTGTTTGAAAAGACAAGCACTCTCAAATCTCGATTTCAAGGAAAAGAGCACCAATTGCTTGTTATGAATAATAAATGTCATCAAAAAGGCAAATTAGATAATTAGTGATCTATTTCTTTCTTCTTCTCTTTTTAACGTTTTCATTATTGTATGAAATTCTGTTATGGAGATGGAGTGAGTTGTGAAATAATACACGGACACCTAAAATCACTATCCGTGAGTAACACATGAACCTGGACGCAAATGGGGGGTTTCGGGTAATAATCTTGTTTATAAAAATGAAATGAAAATGACAAAGAATTCCATGTCTACTGAGTCTACGTTTCATTGTAACGATGACATTGATTTTTTCCAAAAATTACAACATTGAATTTGAAGCATGAGTCATGAGGATATATATATATATATATATAGATTTTATTTCAAAGAGAATTATATTAAAATTTTACATTAAAAATATAACAATTAAATTAAACTGTATGAGAATACAATCAATTATTAATACAATTTAATTAGTTATCAACTACAGTAATTAATTTGTGTGTG